CAGCCCTGAAGGTGAGAGGGACTGAGTTTCACATGGCAGTCCGCAACGCAGTTCTAGGAAAGACCACAGAGAACTGCAGTGAAGTCACTCAGAACAGTCTTAAGAGTTTATCATGGATGCTGGAACACATTTCCAACCCAATGGCTGTGGAGAGTACAATCGCTCATCCCAAATTGGGTTACAGAGGTGTTGCAGATTGCATCGCTATGTTCAGGTAATGGTAATTTGTTTAATATAATTGTTCGTATAGTTCAATAGATTTTAGCTCTGCCTGACATGACCCATTTTTTGGCCCACCTAAAACTGTAAGTCCACCTCCTATCTAGAAGAAAAGGACAGGTCTCTTGATGGGATGTGAATTTTCTCTGATATGGAAAACTAGCTCCATTGAAAGGCCATACAAGGATTCGTTCAAACTATATGGGAGGTTAAAAATGCACAGTTTCAGCTTTGTATCATATTGACACAAGTATGGATTACATGTACTTAAAAATGTAAGCCTGAAAGAGATACACGCGCACTTAAATGTAGAATGAAATACTATTTTTTCTTTAATAGCTAATTTAATTACAAATGGAAGACATTCCAATCAATAAATGATTTATTTACAGAATGGGGTGAAAATAGAGAAGTCTTCACAATACACATTTTTGGTCTAGTTTTCGACCACGGGGCGACCCCTGGTATGTTTTAATTGGCTAAAAATTGTGTGAATTGTTTCAGAAACATTCCTGTAATGATTGACTGGAAGCTATCTGACAAACCTAAAAGAGATCTCAAAGATACGTATGACGCACCCGTCCAGATAACAGCTTACATAGGGGCTCTAAACCACGATCCCAACTACAAATGGGGAGTAAGTACTTTTTTGTTAGTAACTTAGTTGCAACATATAGCTTTGGTGTGGGATGTCCTACTATGAGTCATGAATCACAAAGTAAATTGGTATAATCATTATACCAAATAGACTACCAAATATAGTAGATTTTCAGCAAGGCTATTAGTTTTCTTTCATTGTGCATTAAAATCTTTTCTTGGATGCTGCTGAAAATAGATTTTATGGTACTTGATTATGCATTCAAACCAACAGTTTAATGTACGAGGGCAGTTTTTGTAAAGGACCGTTTTAGCTAATAGCTCCGTAGTTTACGTGTTTTTCGCTGTAACGAGTCGGGGCTATAGCCCCGGTAACGAGGCCCCCGTCGCCTGGCATCTTTTGTGAACAGAATAACACTTCTGTAGCTGAAAAATATGCGTCATTATTGAATTTGTACCGCTGCGTGCAAGATAAGGTCATTACGACTGAAGGGTATCTGACCTAATGCAATGAGTGAGGCTAGATTTTGGAAACGGGTAAGGAGTGTAAAAATTGCCGTGAAAACATTTTTTCCTTTGTGAGCTTCTTGTGAGAAGCCTGGGAGCCAACCAAAACACAATTTCCTTCCGAAATGAACATTTCCACGGCAAATTTAAAACTCCCTAGCCCATTCCTGCACTTCCCTCTATAATGGCATTAGGGTCAAAAACTTCGGTCATCTAGCGATGAATGTCAGCATCAGATTCAGATATGCTTCTTGTAATCTAAAAACGTACTAAACCTTATCTAGCACACGGCGGGAGATTCAATCATTAAAACAGTTTAAACACACAGTGAAGTGCAAACGTCAGCTACAGAGCTGAACATTGTGGCATTCGGCATTCTGTTGACAAATTGTGTCAGTAAGCAGTGAGGAGTCTTGATATGGTGCAGGTAAACTACGGAGCAAAACGTAAAAAAACGGCTCTTAGTTACAAAATTACCCTCGTATAAGGATTGTCTGTTATCTCTCTCATGTTGTTTTCAGGTGAACCATGGTCTAGTAGCAGTAGCGTACGCAAATGGAGACCCCTGTGATGTTTTCTTATTGGCTCCGAAGCACTGTCAGATCTACTGGCGTCATTGGCTCATGCGCTTCGATAAGTTCAAGGCACGAAGCCATCTCCATTTAGAACACAATATAGATGAAAAATCTCTCGAACTTATTTAATTACATACTTGATCTGCTCCCTTGCTAACGTTTATTTGAATCTTCCTGTGATGATTTCTGTAGTAAAAATGACTATTTCAATACACATATTGTTGCACAGATCAATTTTAAATATTCAATTAAATCTTTTCATTAGGTCTCAGTTGCCTTTGCTGATAACATTTTTCACAAACTATGAACTAGTGTGATGTTGTTACGCAAAAAAATGCCTTATAAAACTGTTTTCATACATAAAGTGCTGACGTTTATTCGTTATTTAAACTCTTAATGTCAATAATTAATCTTTATCCTCAAAATATAGAATATTCTGTTATTTTTCTCAATTTAATCAAAACAAAATTTGTTGATGAGTAAGAAAACTTACAAGTTTCGTATACCTAGGACTCTGACTTTGGGAAGCGATGTTTCCTCAGAGCAGAAAACTGGATCAAAAATAATTTGAGATATGAACGTCTGCGCCAGAACCGTCTGCAAGCTCAGAGTCGACGACGATACTACCCACATACATCCGGACAGACCACATACGGCCAGCCGCTCCAAAGCCGAACACCATACAGAACATCTGTTGGATACAGAGAGAGCAGAACAGATATTGAGAGATCTAACCAGTACCCAAGGCCCAACTACTACCGAGGAGCAAACGAGCCTGTAGGACCTAGCCTGTATCCAAAACCTAATGACTACCCAAATCCTAAAGAATTTACAAAACTTAATGAACAAGCAAAACCTAACGAATATCCAAGGCCTGACTCTGACTATCCAAGGACTAGCTACAATCCAGGACCTCATGTATACCAAAAACCTAACCGGTATCCAAGGCCTAGCTACAATCCAGGACCTAATGAATACCCGAATCCTAACCAGTTTCCAAGGCCTAACCATCCAAGGCCTAGCTACAACCCAGGACCTAAGAAGTACCCAACACTTAATCAGTACACAAGTCAAAATAGTTGGAATAGAGCAAACCCAAATCATTTTAGAACTATTATTGAGTAAACAAAATTTTCTTGATTTATATCATCGACGATATTTTGTTACTGTTTCCAATTAAATGTATATTGAAAAGAGGAAAATGCATTTTAATCATCCTGTTTTGTATATTACAAAGAAATAACATTTTGTTTCATATAGTGCTCAAAGATTAATAAATTAATATTTATTCATGCTTATGAAAGAAAATTTACCGGTAATTAATTTAGCACTGATTTTAACCGAAATGGACACACACGCTTAGAATAAATATTCAGTGCTATCCAACCTAAACTTAGGTTAGAAATAACAAACAAGTTACTCACAGTTTTTAGAATTATTTCATATGGTTTTTTTACCGAGTTAGATTAATGAATACAAACCTTATTATTAAAGGTTTGTATTCAATGGTTCGATGGCAGGAGAAATCAATGATGGCCTTTCACTATAATTTGCTTTAGGGGCAGAGCATTGGAAACAACATTTACTATTACTTATTTATTTCCAACATATAACTCCAATTACAATAATACACACATAAATGAGTAACATGAAAAAACATACAAAATCGGCTTGAAATAAAATCTAAAATCAAGATAGTAAAATGACAAAGTAAGCCCAACGCGTGTTGAATAACTATAACAATTATTAATGTTTGCATTTTTTATAAATCACAAGCAATACGTAACACAAAATGAGCTAGATGTAGCTATGGCAGTAATCTCCATCTCCTCAGGGAGGTTGTTTTGGCTCTCGTTTTACAGGGGAAAGTCGTTAGTGGACAGCAACAAACATCAGTCAATATTATATAGCCATTGACCAGTGTTGTAAGAGATAGACATAGGCCTAGGCCCATTATCTGCGTCTAAACTCTCAAGTGTGAGGGCTGCAGTCTGAAGAACATTTTCCAAGTTGGGGATTATGATCTTCAAGATATTCAAAGCAAATTCTGACTAATGGCCAATTCTGACTAAGAATGCTTGGCCAATTCTGATATTATTGCCAATCATTCTGGCGAAACGCAAATATATCTCTTCAAGCTTGTTCGCTGTGGCCAAGCTGGTAGTGTCACCATATTGGTGAGGCGAATTCAAGCACAGTCTGAACTAAGGATCAAACGATCAATAAGAGTTTTAAATTATATTTTTTAATTTGTTGCTGCCAATTGTTTTTAAATTTTTAGGAAGAAAACGTAAGAACCTTTTTTCGGCACAGGAGGGCTTTTTTAATTAAAAAATCCTCTAAAACCATTACTCATAACTTCCAAGAGAGGTTATGTTTTTGTTTATAACCTTTCATTGCCACTGATTGTAATGCAACGACTTATTGTCCCAACCACTCACTCATTGTTTAATCAATTAAATTGGTCTTAAGAGCTTACAAATTGACGTTCGAAGTATTACAATTTTACTTATTTTCTCTCAATCCTTGAACCTCATTGGTCCGTTACACGTGTTGTAAACTAAAGCAACAATGTTGTTAATAAACAAAATAAATAAACAATTTCAATTCTAAAACTGAAATGAAACGGCTAGTTAAAAAAAACAGTCGTAGACATATTTAAATAAAAACCACGTAACTGTTAATACAGAATGTTTATTAGGGACATTTGCTGTTTTACAAAAATACAAAAATTATGAGGACAATGAAATAGTTACCCGATTGTTGGTTGGGTAATTTTGATATGATAAAATAACCTTGCTCATTATTGAGAATTCAAAACTTTCTCTTCGCCCAACCAAAAAAATTAGATATCTACAAACGAACAAATGCAAGACCAGGTAGCCGCTATACGGGTATGAAAAATACGGTAGAACCTCGCTAATTTGAATTTCAGAGGAAAGACAATATATGTTGACCTATAGGAAGTTTGAAATATATGTAGAGAGTAATGAGATCAGAATAAAAAAAAATCGAATTATGGTGGTCCCAGGTTTAAGTGTAGAGAGTTTGAGAGAACAGAGATTAATGAACACATTGTGGGAACATCAGTAACGCGTCAGATCATGTTTCAACAAGTGTATTTTTATCCTGAATTCTAATTACAGAGGCTACGGTAATGCAGTTCGAATTGCAGAGGTTGACTTTGAATTTGGAGGTAACACTCCGAATAACGGCAACAAAATTTGAATTGTATAGGCTCGAGTATGGACAAATTCGAATTGTAGAGGCTGCATTAAGCGTAAAAATCACTTTGAATTATCGGTATATTATTTTTTTAATTTTTGAGGTTTTTGAGGCGAACGGATAAACATTTCTAATTATAGAGGTTTTTGAATAATCGAGGTTTGAATTAGCGAGGTTCTACTGTAGGCCTTTATAACTACTTATCTCCCGGCACCCTCTAAAAAAATGCCGGTTTCGGTCTGCCTCCATAATATAGTCGTCTTGACAATAATCCGTGATCGCGACAATGTCTTGCATTCCCCCGTGGCTGCTCATTCATTCACTTCTGTGATCTTAGCAATATATTATGGTCGGTCACAAACTGTCGCGAAGTTATCATCATCATCATCATCATAATCTCCTCCTCCTGAGATCTCATCAAACTTGTCATGCCTTTACAGCTGTGAACTCGCATCATCACCACCTCCCGTGATTTCGGAAATCTTTACTTATTTCCGCGGTCGCGAAGGCTTCATAATCAGCTCCTGTAATCTCGGTATACTTGACATTCCTCCACGGCTGCGAAACCATAATCACCGCCTCGCGTGATCGCGGCAACATCTTGACATTCCCCCACAGTTGGAAAGACATCATCCCCCCTCCCGTGATCGCGCCAATATCTTGAAACTACTCCATGGTCGCAAAAATATCATCATCGTCTCTCGTGCTCGTGACAATATCTTCACATCCTTCCGCGGTGGTGAAGATATCATCATCGTCGTTATCGCAGCAATATCTTGACGTTACTGTGTGGTTGCGAAGACATCGGGTTGTTGCTAGGAACACATTTTAGCTATGAATATCCGAAATCATGTTGCAAAAGTTAATAATGAGTATTCAATTAACAAAACCCCCATTTCAGGGATTCTAAACAAAAAATTACTCTCTAAATTTTAGTTTACTTACTTAGAAATACTGTAATTTTAGAAATACTTGCTGACATTATCTATTTAAGTTTTTTCTCTCAAAATATTTGTCAATTCCAAGTGAACTGAATACCGGAACCAAGTTAGGAATATTGGGAGTCTTCTTTGTTATACTCTTACTCTTAAAAAACATAAGTGTACACAAGTTAAAGCAGTTGTTTAACATCAACTTTCTTAACGTTATTTAAGTTTATCTGTTTAAATCTGTGAAAAGGGAAGTTTTTCATCGCCTCGTCGTTTTCTTGAAAATAGTAGTTGGTGTCGTAGTCGATGCGTCTCTCTCGGATTGCATTGTCTATCAGGCTACCAACCGCCCTCTCCATGAACTTGCAGGGGTCAGCCACTGACAACAGATCATGTTTTTTACAATAAAGTAATAACATGAACATTAAGTGTGAAGTGTATGTTTAAAATAAATTATGTATTTTAAACTCTTTGTGTTTTTGTAAACCACTTGTTATTGAGTTTATCTTCTCTTAACCCTTGCATATTTTCTACATACACTACCATTACAGATTAATGTGTAGGTACTGTATGTAATTGTATCTAGAGAGTAAATATTATAGGTCAATTTTACAGTCTGCAGTCACGAAAAGACAGCTGATTTAGATTTACTAAAATCAGCTGAGGGGTCTAAAACAGCTAATATGTTTAGTCTACCTATTGACTAATTCAGAGTGCTGCAATTAAAACACATTGTTTGTGGTCAAAATCAGATAGGTCATAGTCTTCTCTAATATAGCTATAGATAGGTAAGTCGAGCATAATGTAATTAACTTATTAAACAATCAAGCCAAAGTTTTACTCATTTCAAGTTAAGCCCTCAAGCTCAAAATTTTACAGGATACCATCAAATACCTCTTAATGTGTACGTATTCAGTAAATTAAAGAGAGGACAAAACTTTTTATACCTGAACGAGGACCGATTTTAGCAATAATAATGCTCTTCCATTGAGACTCAGGGTGGACTTCGAATGGCGGAGAGATGGAATAGGCCCAGCCCCTCCCCTCATAGACTCGGCCATCTCCTCCGATTAGGAAGCTGAAACATATACAGTACACTTTCACTTTGTAAACTTTCAGCGCCTCAGCAGTTGCGCAGGCTCCACTTTGTATAATGACTGTTTGGGCCAAGGGTGCCAAATATTTAGAAGCGTAACGTTTCCTATAATATTTTTTGTTAATAATAACTAATAATAGCTTAATAATAACTTGTAATGAGTATACATTTTATTAAAAACATAAAAAACTACAATTTAAACTGACACACTTTATCATCTGTGCTACATACAATCCTAGGATATTTAAACACAACTAAGGTAAACGCACCAGTAGCTGACAGTATAAGAAACTATACGCATTTAATAATCTGTGGTTTTGAATAAATAGGAACTAAAGAGATATTACGGATTTTATGTGATTCTAAATTTAGTGTAGTTTTCAAATTTGTCATACAAAAAGGGTTTTTTAAATATATTTTATAACATTTTTAAACTTAATTCAACCTTTGTACGTGTTCCAGTGGCTGACAGTGAAAAAAGTGCTTGTACCAGTAGCTGACAGTCAGTTGTCCCAGTAGCTGACACTGGAACTATACATGTACTAGCTGCTAAACCTAAGGGTTTTATAATTTATAAGACGAATAAAATCTAACTTAATAATTAAATTATAAAATCATGTAAAACGTTGTTAAGAAAATTTATTTTACATATTTTAAAATAAAAAATATTTACATTAAAAAAAATTTTATATTTTTTATTTATATTAAAAACATATATACATTTTTTTAGATAATTTGGCTTATTAATTAAAAAATTAAAATCATTTTATAAAATTGTGAGATCACATAAATTATAAATAGCAAATAAGTAGCAAATATCCCCTGTCAGCTATTGGAACTTGTATGGCTTTTGTGTACCAAAGCCTGACATTGATATAATTTTTAATCCAAAACCCCTAACACCCCAATTTTATCATGAAATTGTCAACAAAGGTATAATTGATAAAAATAATGAGCCTAATCATTAATACTATTTAAGAAATTTAGCGAAATGACTAAAAACCAAACTTACCTTCTTAACAATTTCATTAAGGGAATCGACTAAATGTGATGTGTACAGACAGGGTCGCTTTCAAACCACCACCATTCAGCGAGTATGGGCTAAATTTCACTGATTTTTTTGTAAACAAATCAAGAATAAACATATGTTCTTCTAACAATGCAATCATGTGTAAATATTTTTAAGAGACCACATTATAATGTAAAGAAACTCAAACTGTCAGCTTCTGGAGCACTGTCAGCTACTGGTGCATTTACCTTACTCATTTTTTAGGTTTTGCAGCTGTCCGATTACGAAATAACCAAGAAGAAAATAATAAACAAAGCTAGACGAAATAATAACGTGATTAGACCTGTATGGCAAGTCCTGTAACTTGTAGTACTGATGTGTCGTCTGCAGGTTCTGTACAACTCTTGCACACTCTTCCTGGCTGTTGCACGGTTCTGTCTCTGTACTGGTTATGAACACTGCGTGCAAAGGGTACTGCAGTGACGTCACATCTCCACAGGGTGGTAGAGCGTTCCACTCACAACGGGGGACCATCAACAGTGGCATCTTTGCAGTTGGTAAAAGCTAAAATATAACAAATATTTTCAACGAGATAGTAGAGAAATAATCATAGATTTTATTTATAAAGATAAGCTGACATTTTATTTCCCTTGTACAGTATTGGTAAACCCTTCATAAAACCCTGTTTCATAGCCTCCTCTTATGACAAGACCGCGGAGAGACAAACATTACAACACCACTTTCCTGGCAAACCAAAACAGTGGTTGCACTTATTTATAACGGAGCGTATGTGCAATTTTTATGTTTACACTTTTGTTATTACGTAGTGTTAATTATTGCCGTGGAAATACAGATGCCGGTGCAACCTTGTCACACACCAACGCCGCGGTTTTGCGTTAGAGGAGGCTATGCCTGTTCCCATCATAGTAACATGCTGTTTTAAGAAGTCTTTTGAATAGATGTAATTATACACGTTTTTAGGAAAGTTAATCCAAATTGGTTGATTTTTACTCGAGTTATTGCGGTAATGGACATATGTGGAAAACGTCTCAGACACGTAGATCATTTTTAAAGCCCTAAAATAGCTACCTATTACTTGATAGTAAAGAAAGAATCAACATGGGCGATGTAAATCATACCTTAATCCGATTATGTATACCAAACAACAGATTTTAACTTCAAATCATTCTTAACACAACTTCATCTATTATCGTTCACAGAACACCAATATATCTAGAGGAGAGCATTAAACTCAAACTTGATCAAAATAAAACGTATAAATCAGCACTTTTCAACAGTGTTCCTCTTATCATGCTATTTAGATTATAAATGGTAACTGTGTAATTCTTTATGAACTATTGATAACCAACGATAGGAATAGCTTCATACATATGGTATAGAGAATATTGTTATTGTTGTTTACATACTACTTTTCTGTACTTTTTTTGTCGAAGGATAGATTAGGTGTGGGCGTAGGCGATGGATTAATTCAAAAGATACTATTTTTTTGGCACACTACACAGTACACACTGTTTTAATAGGCTTTCCACGCATGAAATTAATCCGGAAAACAGTTGTTTGCCCCCTGGTTAATCAAGTAGGATTTCATTACGCACTACTGTTTTGTAGTTAAATTTTACCGAGCACCAAACTGATTATAAATTATTGTAATAGGTCAAGGAATCAATAAACGAAAAAATAACCTCTCTTAGAAGCTATGAGGCTGCATTTACTTACTTTTCCGCACTCTTTTTTTGCCACACGCCAATTTTCCAACTAAACAACACAAAAACTGCGTACTTTTATTATGGAAAGTAAATAAAAGAAACGTCTTATAATACTTAAAAAGTTTATTTTAGGTGTTATAAGACGTTTCTTTTATTTACTTTCCGTAAATTTAATAACACGTAAAATGCTGATCAAGAAGTTATTTACTTTTATTATGCACGTATCAAATTTTTGGCAAGACTTGTTGCTGAACAGGTGCTTGCTTCCTGACATTGTTTGATATATGTTTTACTTATTGTTCTCATATTTGAAGTTTGAACAGATTGTAAAATAAATTCTGATAACAAAAAAAAAAAAAAAAAATCCATGCACTCTTAAAAATAGGTTGGCTACGATCAGCTGTTCAGATCCGCCTATTGGGTCTGATATGATTATTAGAGTGTCTAATCGAAATCGATCACCACACATTTAAAGTATTTTAATAATTTTTAAGTATTTTAAATTTTGTATAAATATTGTAATTGCGCAATCAATCCAAGAAACATAAGTAAAATTATAAACTATCAATTATTTAAGATGGTGACGCCACTACATTATAACAATAAATATTCAAGTAACAGATGGCAGTGGTGTGCTGGTGTGCCCAGATATTTACTTGGGGGGGGGGGGGGTTGAAATATCGGTTCTCCTCAGTCATCTAGTCTAATGTAAACACGTTGTAGCACTCACTAACTTTGCATCAAAATAAAATACTGTGAAGGTCTTGTTCGTCACTCAATCCTGGCCCTTTATAAAAAGATTATTTTTACTGACATATTTATTTTCCTACATGTTTAGCCAGTTACAGTGAGCTAAGCCAGTGATTGGTTTGAGTCGCAGTCAGATTGGCACCACGACAGATTGGCACCATGGTGTTTTAGCACCCGGCGTCACATTGGAACCTCGTTGACATGAGGCCATGAAATATCACCCCACGTCAGCTTGGCACCACGACAGATTGGCACCACCCTTTTCTAGAGGTTCCCATCTGTCGTGTACTGTTACGACTGATTGGCACCTCTACTGCCGCCGTCAGCTTGGCACCGCGACAGATTGGCACCACCCCTTTCTCGAGGTTCCAATCTGTCGTGTACTGTTACGACTGATTGGCACCTCTGCGGCCGCCGTCAGCTTGTCACCACGACAGATTGGCACCACCCCTTTCTTGAATGAGGTTTTAAAATACAACAACGCAGTTTTCTGCGTGCAATATTGAGTGGAGCTGGAATATTAATCCAATCCTTCTCTAAAGTCAATCAATACTACACCTGTTCCTCGTGAATGAGATTTAACTACTTGCAGTATTCAAGTAGAGACGGTAAATGTACAAAAAAGATGGTAAGTGGTAACCATTTACCATATTTTTTTGTGTATTTACCATCTTGTAACAGTATAAGCGTAAATATATGTTTTTAATGTTATAAGACGTTTCTTTTATTTACTTTCCATCTAAATAACGTACATTATAAATTACGTTAAAACGTTAAACGTTAAAATATAGTTCTTTAATTTAAAGTCAATCACTTCAACAGTCATTCTATAGATTCTTGTGTAAACCATATCAATAATACTGCAAAGGGCAAACGTATCAAACTGTTACGACTTCCCGAAACATTAATCAAATTTTAAGTTGATTCTAAAAATATTTTAAGTTTTGGAACGGTCAGAGTGAGGCAGAGAGTCTGTCAATTATCACTAATCGTCTTGTTTTCCGGGTCCGACTCCTATTGTTGGGGCGTACGTACATCCACGGAAACAAGAGATACTGACTCATAATTAATATGTTCAGTATAAATATGTAGCTTGTGCAACTTTTTATGATCTACAAAAACAAATATCATTACGTTTTTGGTCATGTTTTCTTTGACATTTTATATATCAAAGTTTTTATATCAAACTTGAAAAAAAGATTTCTATGATATGCAAAAGCATTAAAAGTTATAACATTTACCAACAGGGTGCAGTACTATATTTTTTTTGCATTTATGACAACAGCTAATTTGAACTAAGCAGCAACAAAATGCTGTGCTACTCCATGTGAACTGTCAAAGTAGGATTGTTTACAGTTATGGTTATGTTTTCAAGTTAATAAATCATTTGTGATATTGTGTGATTTGATTTTTTTTTTTCTATTATTTATGTGCAATGGTAAAACATTATGGCTATGGTAGATGTGTTATAAAGTACTATAGCATAGCGTAAATTTAAAGAAACAAATTTAATTTTACCAAATCGTGTCCTTCCCTATTACAAAAGCAAAGCTTGAGGATAACTGCAATAAGCACTTTATGCTTATTTGCTAACCCCATACGAAGGACGGGTACACTGCTAGTACTATTTAAAACCAGGGATAACGTTACCTATAATTATTAAGACTTTTTAGTTATATATTAGAAAGTTGAAATGAATTATTTTACTGTGAAACCTTTCAAATTTGCGAATTTTTAAGCGTATAATAAGTAGTTGAATTTTATTTTTATTTTATCTACTTGCCAACGGACTTTTGCTCATTATGACTAGATAGCCTATCTATATATAATAACAATGAAAGGAATGTCAATTGTAACAATAATAAGAATAAAGTATATATGTGAAAAACATGGACAAAGAACAAACTAAAAGTAACGATAAATAAATGCATAGCCCCAAATAAACCTATTTTTGTTTCAAAATTTTAGATTCAAAAATACGCAAATTCTAACTACATATAATAAATCTTTTATGCTTCTTTTAATACTGTATATGATAGTGGTTTTTAGTACTGTATTATGACAAATTTAAATGTAAAATACTTGCAGTTATTTGAACTTGAATTCATTATTTCTTAGGCCGCGAACGCTAAATATGTAACAGATGTTCGTGTACAGTAGTTAAACAATAAAAAATAGAGCATTTCATCACTAGAGGGTACCTATTTAACAGTACTGTATTACGAAACATTTATATGTAAAATACTTGTAGTAATTTGAACTTGAATTCTTTATTTCGTTGGCCACGAACACTAAATATAAAAGTAACAGATGTTTGTGTAAGGTAGTAAAACAATACAAAATAGTGCATTTCATCACTAGAAGGTGTCTATTTAACTTTACTGTATTACGAAACCTTTAAATGCAAAATACTTGTAGTAATTTTAACTTGCATTCTTTATTTCGTTGGCTGCGTACGCTAAATTTTGGCCGTAAAAGTTTAATTTTGATACTTACTTGTTCTGTGTTATTTCACCTAATAACAACAGTACATTTAATTCTATCCAACATAATTTTTGTTGGAAATGCACAATGTTGAATTGTGTGTTCCAATTATTAAATTGCAAATTACATTAATTAATTGTTGAATGAAATGCATAGGGGCATTTAATTCCATCCAACTGAATTTTCTGATTTTGTATATAACAAACTGTAAATTTCTTTTATTGATTGTAAATATCTACATCACTAGAAGCCTTTTTGTAGTAATTGATCATTTAAACACTGCAGTTACAAGTTTAATTTTAATATTTTGTTGTACCAATACACCAGACTGTTAATTAATATATAGGATTATATTTTAAACGCATTTTTATAATATACTTGTCTCTTGTTACATTGGTTTAGTTTTTAATTTCGTATTTTATACTTGGTGTTTATCTGGTTTTTACATAACAAATTGTTATTTACTTTCACTTTGTATTTGCTTGTAAATAGGACACTACCAGAAGTTTTTGTAGGTATACATTATTTTAAACACTGCAGTTTTTTGTTTACCTTACACCAGACTGTAATTTAATTAAAGTAGGCCTATCATTATTTTACTACGTCTCTTGTTTAAATTATCTGAATGAATGTACTACGAATGTACATTCAGCTGTTAAACTACAATTCACACTTTAAACTGAAACAAGAGGTTCTAACCGTGAATTCACGGGTGAACAGAAACCACCATTAAATTAATTTAATCAACTTTGACTTTATATTTCATTTAAAGGGCCCAAGTTCGAGAAATTTTTTATGTGTAAGGATGTTAAAGGCAGTGGAACCTTCATGCCTTACGTCCTAAGGTTGGCCGAGGTTGTACCTGAACACGCAGCTCTCTTTCACGACATCTTTAATATTTTTCAATGAAATTGCGATCTGTTAAAGATCGGTGACAACCTCTTGGAATGAACAACATACATGGTTTGTTAATTAGTCATCATGGTTCGAACACCTTTAGTTACTCACTTGTAAAAAACAGCTATAAATAGCTTCACTGTCCATTCACCGCGACTCTTTTAAGAACGTAAAAGTAAATAATAAAATAAGTAAACAAAAATGTAAACAAACAAACTATATTGTCGATTGCATTGGCCAGCTGTTGTTCACTAAATTAATCAAATAATAACTTCCAAAACATGCAAGGTGTAGCCTTTTGAAAATCAGCCTGTGGGGCAGAGCCCTTAGGGAGTTCGTCCATATCAATACTTTTCGGCAAAATCTACACACTCTAAGCTTCATTTTGAT